TCAATCCTGTTTCAAAACTGCTTGAAGAGAAAGAAGAAGCCCTGCTGAGTGAAAAGAGCAAATACAAAGCTTTGGAACAAGAACATAGCAAAACGGTTAAACTTGCAAAGCGTGAAATTGTCATGGCTATGCATGAAGAATACGAGACTAATAAGACAATTCTAGAACAAAGCAGAGCAAACAAACAGGGCATCAAGGGCCCCAAGAACGAAGGGATTGAAGCTCCTTTGCACAAAAGTGAAGCAGCCATTGCAGGGTATGAAAAGGCGTTGGGCTTGAAGTCAAATGCTGAGGACATTCTTTGCGATCTCAGGAAACCGATTCTACACCTGTGCTGGGCTTCATTGGCATGCAACTATCTAATAGCTTGGCGATGACTTTCCACCAAGTAAGAAAGAACAACAATCAGCAATCTTATTGTGATCAAATCAAGCTTATTGGCACACCAACGTTTTTTCCAAGGGGTGCTTTATGGTCCAGATCACTTTCTGGCATTCAAGGGTCGTAGAATGGCTCAAACCACTCTGCTGGAGCATAGCAAACACTAGCAATTTCACCCCTAAACCGAAGATGGAAGAGGCGCTAATGAGGAGTTCACAGCAATGGGAACGGTGGAACCAATAGAGAAGAGTGAGTTCCAAGAGGGCCACGAAATCAAAAGGCCATTGAGAAGCAAGCAGTAGCGAGAGCAGGGGAGATCAGTCAGTTGGAGATCTGCGATCAAGAGAGTAATGGAGATCATGGCAGTAGGGAAAGTGGAGGAGTCACCAGGGGATCAATCGGACATTCAAGGCAGCACATAAAGGGGACAAGAAGGGAGAGCAAGTCAAGGCTGCAATCAGGTGGAGGTCGGTCAAGCGCTTGGAGATCCTCTTCACATGAGGCAGTAGTGTCAGCGAATGAGCAAACAAAGGAAATACGAAAGGGACCAGAGGGCGAAAAGAATAGCAAGAGTGGCAATGGTCGATCTGGAGAGGATGAGGTCTTCCTGTGGCAACAACAACAACAAGGCGCCGAACAAGAAGTACTGATGAAGAGTGAAAAACCAATGAAAGGCCAGGAAGTCCTAGCGATGGTGCTGAATTTGCAAGGGAATTTGGACATATAGCTGTTCCAGGAACGGCGCGAGCAAGGGAGCAGGAGCATGTTGCCGCAAGCCAAATGCAGACGTTGTACTTGAGGGCTCGTGAGGATGCT